GTCTCAGACCCACAGAAGGGCACCACGGGGTGAAGGAACGGCTGCCAACTGGCAGCTTTGTCATGCGCTACCCAGTTCTAGGTGATGGTTCATGGACAGGAACCTGCACATGGGGCGGATCCAGGGTAGAGCGAGGCCTCAGGCCCTAGGCTGAGTGGTGTGACTCAGACCCCAAGGAGCAGAGAAAGTTCTCGGGTCCAGCTTCCAGACCAATCTGAAGCCTGCAGGGGCACGGCTAGGGCATGTCACCAAGATGCCTGCAGAGCTTCCAAGATGGGGGCAGAGTCCACCAGCAGCTTCCACTCCTGTTCATGCCCAAACCCAGGTCAGGAACTTGCAGAGCTCCGACCAGGGGGCAGGATCAGACCACTATGGGAGCACTGGAGACTTAGAGGTCCCTGACCTGAGCTGTTCCTGAGAGCCCGGAACAAAACAATGCTCAACATCCCAAGAAAGCAGCGCGAGAACCAGCCCAGATGTCTCCTCCAGAAGTATGGTAGAGTTCAACCCCAACATCAAATCCCACGTCAGGAAGCAGACCAGAAGAATGAGCGAACAAAAGAAGAGAACCCCACCCTTACGAGCTGTGACGGTGGCAGGGATGCTCAAAGCACAAATGCAGAAGGAGAGAACAACTCCAAAACATGAACAACCAAAGCCCCAGAGAAAAACACAACCTGGACACAAACTCAACTAAAATTCCTGGAAGAGATAAAGCAAGAGTTTAAGAAAAAGAGGCAAACGTGCTTTTACAAATTAAATGGGAGTACTAGGGGCAAAAACCATAAAGGAAAGGAGAGCTATGGAAGATCAAATTGGAAAAGGGAATTAATAGCTTGGCACAAGAGGGACCAAACTTCAACCAAGCAACAAACTCCGCGAAAACCGTAATGGACCAAACAGAAGCCAATGTTTCCGTAAGGCAACAAGACATGTTTTTACAAAGTGAAAAGACTGAAAAATAAAAGAAAATGTAAGTTACCTCAGCAGAAACAACTAACCTGGAAAACAGACTAAGGAGAAAAAAATTTTTAAATTGGACTATTTAAATGCCAATACCAAAAAAACAGACTATACAATCTATGCCAAGAAATCTTAAAACAAGGAGCAGCTAGGTGGTGCAGTGGATAGAGCACCAGCCCTGGAGTCAGGAGGTCCTGAGTTCAAATCTGACCTCAGACACATGATACATAGTAGCTGTGTGGCCCTGGGCAAGTCACTTAACCTCAACTGCCTTGGGAAAAAAATCTTAAAACTGTCCAGATCTCTCAGAACCAGGGGGCAAACTTTAAGGAGAAAAAAAAAATCTACTAGTCACATCCAGAAAAAAAAACCCCAAGATGAAAACTCCCAGGAACATCATGGACAAAATCCAGAACTTCCAGGTGAGAGAAAATATACTGCAAGCAGCCAGAGAGAAAGAATTCAAGTACCAAGGAGCCGCAGTCCAGATCACCTATCTGGTGATATCGCAGCTTTTTGGATGTATCGCAGCATACATGTTCACAAAGGAACAAAGGCTTTGAAAGGCAAAGGGAGCTAGGATTTCAACCAAGAAGAACTTGTCCAGCAAAACAGTATAATCCTTCAGTGGAGGAAAAAAATGTATATTTAATGAAATGGAGGATTTTTAATCATTCCTGATGAAAAGACCAGAACTGAATATAAAATCTGACATCTAAACACAGGACTCAAGAGAAGCATTACCTCATCTAAACGGGGAATGAAAGAAAAGAGTTTATACAATGGAAGGGCTAAGGGGAGAGGGGAGAAGGGAACAACACTTCAACGTTATTTTCATCCGAATTGGTGGAGGGAAGAATAAATATAAACACACAGTTGGGTACAGAAATTCATCTGATCCAACAGGAAAGCAGGAGGGAAAAGGATTAAGAGAAAGAGGAGGGGAATAAGAGGGAGAGCAGATTAAAGGAAGCAGTGATCAAAAGCAAAACAGACTCTCGAGGAGGGGATAAGGCAAAAAAAAGAGAAGGATAAGTCTGACAAAATATGATGGAGGGTGATACACAGTTAGTCACCATAACTATGAAAGTGAACGGGATGAACTCACCCATAAAACAGAAGAGGGCAGAATAAATTAGAAACCAGAATCCAACAATATGTGGTTTATAAGAAACACACGAGAAACAGAAAGGTACACACTGATTTAAAGTTAAGAGGCTGGAGCAGAATCTATTATGCTTCAGCTGAAGTAAAAAACAAAAAAGGCAAAAGTAGCAATCACGGTCTCAGAAAAAGCAAACACAAAAGCAGACCTAACTAAAAGAGATAATCAAGGAAACGACATTTTTCTAAGAGGTACCACAGACAATGAAGTGTGTATATACATACACACACGCACCTAAGCAGTCTTTTTCTTCTCTTGTCTTCAAAGCCCTTTTGACTGTAGGGTACCTCACAAAAATGTTGTCACCAGCCTCTGTGAGGTGCACACCATCTCTGGCCAGGGATCCGTCCATCTATTATTGTAGCCTGGATCCAGAAACCCAGATCCTATTTCCAGACACCGCCTTCTTAGCCAGCTACTCACTTATGTAACTCTGGGTCTTCTGCATGTCCTGCATTCAGGGGACAGCGCGAAGAAACCACAAGCTACACCTCTGTGGTCGTCAGCGCCTCAGGCAACGTGTCCCCATCCTTGGCAGCATTTTCTAGGTTCCTCCTGGGCCTGTCACTTGTATCCACATGGAAATGGCTAACAACCTTTACCTTTCCTGAGGAGGGCTACTTTCATCTTCAGCTAACTGCTGACCAGTGCATACGCTATATTAAAAGTGCTTACTCTTCATGGAAAGCCTAGCACTGAATATCCTCAAGAAACACAGCACTTGCTGTCTCCTTCAGGAGGAGGAAGCAGCAGGTGTAGGAGAGTTACAGAGGAATGGCAGGCCTCCTCCCTCACCTCAGGGGGGTCTGTGACAGTAATGACGCCTCACCTGACGTCTCCTGTCCACTCCTTTCAGTCTCACATCTCCAGCTGCCCCCAAGATTTTCTGCTGTCAGTTCACAACTCAGCTTTTCAGATCCACAGGGCATCCCTTTTCTTCTGTCAAAAATTCTATTGATTCTCCCTTTTATGAAATGATTGTTATGTTCACCCATCCCTTCCAGTCCATTGTTACCTCCACCCCCACCGCCTCAGCCTTTATCACGTTATCCCTTCACACCGGATTAAGACAGCTTCCGAGCTAACCCATCAACCTCCAGGCTCTCTCCTCTCAAATCCATTCGGCCTAGCACAAACAGGGTCATCTTCCTTAAGGACTATTCCGTGCCACACCATTCAGCTGCCAAAAAGCCCTCTGGCTAGTTGTGGCCATTTTTTCCAGAATTGCACTTCTTCTTATTATAAAGGTGACAGACATAAACCTTTGCATACACAGAGGACAGAACAATAGCACTGTGTATGAGAGCGTGAGTCTCTGTGACACTCAGCTTGGTTTGGTAGAAGCAGATTCAACTCAGTTTCAAAGCTGCCTGTTGTATCCCCTTCTGATCTTCCGCCTGCTGTCCCCTTGGTGCTCTCTGCCTTCTTCAGGAACACCACGACTACACTCCTGCCATCCTTTGAAAAACAACTCTGAGGAGTTAGCAGACTCAGGCTGTCTTAGGAGAGACGTCTAAAACGCACTCTTCACATCTGTTTTCAGTGTCAAGCATTCATCTGTTTGCAGCACTAATGGTTTTGTAGGAAGGCCACTCTGATTACCTATTCATGTGAACAAAGACTCAGGGCTCCAGGACAGAGCACTACTGAGCCCCAGATTGCCTCCTGGGCTCTGGAACACAGTCACTTCACTGTTCTCCCAAGTATATCTGAGCATAATGCCCCATGTCCCCCAAATGGCTGATACATACTTCTTGACTACGTAAGGGCAGGAATGTACTTGTCCTTCTATATCTCAGTTTCCCCACCTACAAAATGGGATAAGTACCAACACTTTTCCAGGCCTTTATAATGTTTCACAGAACTAGTGAAAGTCTCCATGTTGGTCTCTGTGGCCTTGGCCAGGGCCTACAGTCTCCCCCTTTTCCAATCCAGCCTTCACATAATATACAAATAGCTTCTTAAAGTCTGGGAACACCACATCCCTACTGAGAAAGCTTTGGGGGCTCCCTACCTGGCTACAGGATGAAATAAGAACATCTGAGTCCGGCTTTTAAGACCCTCC